CCCCTTCCCCCACCCTCCATCTGCGATAGTGGGCGTGTCCTAACAATGATGTGTACGCAACTGCGTGTCTGCATATCTGCGCGTAACAAATGTGGTACTACGCACGACTGAAATTTTACGTTTATAATCGTAGCAACAGACCTCAGATGAGCCCAGACGCTTTACGGCTCTTGTTTAGCCAAAACTAACAGATTGCGTGTGGATAAACTCTTAGTTACCACAATCAAATCGTTTGTCCAAAAATTTCTCGAAAGAATTTCAAAATAAACTCCAAGTTTGAAGTTACCTCAAATAAATTGTGAACCGAACAAATTTCTTAGCGACCACAAACAGATTATGGTTCCATTAGTCCCTTAGTTCATCCCGCTAGACCATTTTGATCTCGAACCCTCAATAGTACTGACAACGGCCATACATGCACTCATTTCAGTGAATACATTTATGATATGCACAATTTTTTCATTTCTGCTTATATATTTGCCTTATTATATAAAACGGACCATGTCCCATCCCAAGAAAAAAATCATGAATGAATTCAACGTCTATGGGCACTGCCATGATAGAATGTCGAATAATATTGTCCAGAAAGTACAAGGCCTCTTTATGTTAGTCAGCATCTTTTGCTTTTATACTATTCTTAATATCTCAAATACCGAAATTGCATTTTCTTGTAAGGCAATATTTTGCATCCCCTCGCATTGCTGAAACACAATTGTTCAAATCATGTGTCTTGACCACCCACTAATTACCCACATCATCTGCAAATCCAGCACACGCGGCCCTAGACAAGCGTCCTTTTATTAGAGCTTCAATTGATGTACATTTTACACATAACATTGACTTGATCTCTGTATTCAGATGTTCCAAAATTGCTATACATTATTTTAAATGTGTCTCATACAAAATGTCAAATATGGAATTTCCAGTATGTGAGATCATGATCAACACCCTGATAAAGAGACCTATTTGTATAAAACGGATTTGTTGTAAATTTTTAACCGGAGGTTGTCTTGATCTCTGACCTTGTATCTAGATGTGCTAAAAATGCCATATATCTTCTTTTTTCTTCTTCTTTTTCTTCTTTTTCTTCTTCTTTTGTCTTCTTCTTCTTCTTCTTATTCTTCTTCTTCTTCTTCCTCTTCTTCTTCATTTAGCTTCTTCTTGTTCTTCATTTAGCTTCTTCTTCTTCTTCTTCTTATTCTTTTTTTTCCTTCTTTTTCTTCTTCTTCCGTTATCAGTCGTCCATCAACTTGCTGATCATTATGACTGTGACTGTATCATAAATATTCACAAATTATATAATATATTATATAACAATAATAGAATATCTATATAATGGATATAGGATATCTATGTTGACAACGACAGCTTTTCATAATCCTGTCTTTCGACACTGGTTTTAGTGACGTTCAGGTGCTTCTTCATCTGTACCATTCGGCTTCTTTCGGTTATTAGAATGATCAAACTGGACACCGGATGCGGATGTTTGAGCGCCGCCATTATGGGAATTATGGGATCGTGTAACCGGAAAATTCTGCTGACATTTTTGTTTTGTAAATATTAATATAATTCTGTGCTAATATCTGAAAGATTATGGAAGAAATGGGTAAGTGTTGTGATGCTCACATGTTTATGAATTCAACTGAGCCATGCGATGCACGTTTCTAACGCAATACATGGGTAAACAACGCGGTCGCTAGAATCGGTTGTAAAATTTTCCTGTGCTCCTGAAATTAAAATGGCGCCGCTCCAGTAACTAGGCAAACTTTCTTATGTAAACACTGTAAACTTTGTTTTAATTCACTCCCGATTATTCTATTGTAGATGTTTGTGTCAGAGACAGTGTTGATTATGAGGAAGTGATACAGTACCTGAGAGGATATTATCCAGGAAACGTCACACGCGTCCTACGAAAACGCGCGATCTGTTTTGTTCTTGAAGTATGTTGTTTTTATTATTTTAATGTTTACAGTTTAGTTGTAACTTGTAGCACAGACCTCTCGCCTCTCGCGAGTCGCCACAGGCCGCTCGCCTGTAGCAGAGCGAAGGGCTAGCCTATAGTTCCAGAGCTAGTAGAATATCACATAATAACAATTAACACAACAATGAGTAATAATTACAGCAATAATCCAATATATTAAAACATTACCATACCATCTTACATTTATAATGATGATGTAGTTTGCAGTTACACTAGTTTTCTAAATATTTCAGAATGACGTACTGTACTATAAGAAGGGTCATCGACCAGTAATCCTATCCGTTGAAGAGCGTAAGAATGTGCTCCGGAAATGCCACGTCGACGAGGCGTCGGGATATCACCTTGCGAGGGAGAAGATGTGGTATAGGGTCCGCAACGTACGTTCTGCCATCTCGTAAATAGTAAACGGGACGAATAAAATATGAAGCGTGTCCCAATCGGCCATTTAGATGCTAGGAAAGAGAGTAATGGCAGCGATCTATGTATTATTTGTACGATTGGATCGAATTAGTAAAGTCAAATACTTTGCATTGTTGCTGATACGTCTCTGCAACGATGGCGTATGCGATCTCGCCAATATTAATCGATCGCCGTGTTTAATTCTCGGGCGCGCATGGCGCAAACGTTAAACGTTCCCTTTCTCGTGTCTTCGAAACGTTGCAGATTGGCTACTGGAAGGGGCAGTACAGGGACGTGGTGGCCGTTGTACACAACTGTCCCGAATGCAGCAGCAGCAGCGTCGCCGACGACGACGAGAGTGGATCGTGCAGCTCGGCTCCGGAAGACTCGGAGGACGTTGTGCGGAGCGAGGCAGATGGCGAGGCCGAGGCGGGAAACCCGGACGCGAGCGAAGACAGGGATCGCGCTGCCGTAGAGAGGGTTGCCGACAGAGTGTGGAAAAACGTGGGTGTGACTCGTTAATTTAGCTGTCGGGTTGTTTAACGCCTAACGATCTCTCGCGATGAAGGCTGTTACTGATCTAACCTGTAACATGTCGTCCTTATGGATCTAAGATCCCTGTGTACAGTTCTACAAATGTTGCTTATAGTCAACGTTCACGGTAAACTTTAGAAATTTATTACGATTGAGTAATTTGAAATACTTATGTGTGACCCAAGAGTGTAAGCCTTATATTAAACACGTACGAACTTATATTAAACACGTACGAACCTATATTAAACACGTGCGAACCCATATTAAACATGTACGAACCTATATTAAACGCACACTAATCTATATTAAACACGTACGAACCTATATTAAACACGTGCGAACCCATATTAAACATGTACGAACCTATATTAAACGCACACTAATCTATATTCAACACGTACGAACCTATATTAAACACGTACACACCTATATTAAACACGTACACACCTATATTAAACACGTACGAACCTCTTCGTATTCGAAATTCTTATGTAATCTCTTCATGTTCAGAACACAATGTGCGAGGATAAGCATCCATCGAATCTCAGACGACTGTGGACGCCATCTTCAATGCGTATTCCATCCAGCTAGTATGATTAGATGAAGCCAGCGATGAACGATGAAGGACAAACCTCGGAGTTAACATGAGACCATCGAATGAACTACGAGCATTGCAGATGTTTAACGATAGTAACGAATGTAATTTTGACGAATGCTCGAAGATGATCAGCAGATCATGATAATATTTATTGATAATAGTATTCAGGAATCAAGGCAAATCTCTCTTATAAGTTATTATTGATGGTGGGATTAGAGCAGCCGTAGAAATCTCAGGTGAAAGCAACGTAAATCTTTGGGAGGAGTACAGACCATGTACCACGTTGGGAGATTGGTCCATTGAGGCATGTGATGTTATCTAAAAGATTAATATACTTGATATGATAAAGTATACTACATATTTTAAGCAATCATGTGTCTTTATTATTATTATTATTAGAAGTATTATAATTGAGATCTGAATCAGAGCACATGAAAGTTACAGTCTGATGTGTAAATACGATGCCGACATCTCTATAGGCGCCATAATTTATCATTTTTGTAATCTGGTTGTTTAAAGTTAATAAACGCAGTAAAGCTACAAAGTTACTATATGTGTTTATCTATCGTGTCATTTATATGATTTTGTAATACATAGTACAATGCTTGTACCACATCACATCTTTTTTTTAGTGAAGACACGAAATTAATGTATGTTTGACCATATATTCCATACAATCATATCAACAGTATAATTGATAAAGTGGTGCATCGCTTCTTATATTTAACTGCTCTCAAGTATGCATCTGCTATCTCAAGGTATTTGATTTTATTGACGTTATAAATGCACATGTTCCGCTTGATATCATCACGCAATACTTCGCGTGCGTCAACACTAGCGCCGAATAACGACAAAGAACAAAATAAATAGGGTTAAAAGGTTGGACTCCTTGGTATGGTTTACGGAACTTACAAACTAAGTCAGTATATAAAGTCATACATACTATACTAAATCAGTGCATGTGGTCTTCATTCCCTACTTTTCATCCACGATATATAATCTTCTGTCCCAATCTATTCTGACCATAAGTTTATTCGGTCACTTTCGATCACACGGTGAACTGCCTTGAGCTCCAGGTGCGTGGTCTACTTACTAATTACCTTTCGAGGTCTCGGCATCATTATAAAACGCACGCAGTTATTTCTCCTCTCTAGCTTCCCGCAGAACCAGTTCTTTACGTACTATAGTCGCGGTGTGTACGTAGGTAGAAGTTCTCGTGTTAGCCCTCGACGATTTACACACGATCTTCATCTACGTCGCATCTCGCGTTTCAGGTGAGATATGTATATATATATACTACGTGCAGTTATAACTGAGTTTTAACGTGAGGTTTAATAAGCACATCGCATTGCTATTAACACACCTTTAGCAGGTGTCGCGTGTGTTCGTGTTAGAATGAACTCGTATATATACTATAGCATAGTTGAGCAAGGAGGAGGCGGGGGTGAGGGAGGGAGGAGCAAGGAGGAGGCGGGGGTGAGGGAGGGAGGAGCAAGGAGGAGGCGGGGGTGAGGGAGGGAGGAGCAAGGAGGAGGCGGAGAGGCACATTGCGCGGAGCAGGAGCAAGATCGCCGCCGCGGCGGCGGTCGTTCCAGGTAAGTGAGGGCAGGAGGAGGTTAAAGGTCATGTTGGGCAGAGAACTGCTAAGCCCACTTTAAATCTGTGTCTGTATCTGTGTCTACGATGTGTGTATCTGTATCTGTGTCTACGCTAGTGTGTATCGATGATATTTGTCGTGACGTGTGTTTGTCAAACTTGCTAGTTTTAATCTCGTGCACGGTACGTCAAAATTTACGTAGTAGCTTTCTTTTTCTATCAGAAGAGGTCGCGGCGGTAGCGCCAGAGGAGAGCAATCGAGAGAAAATATGTGAGACGTACATAGAGATTCACGGTTCGAACCAACCAGCACCCACCATCGCCGGAATAAACCAGCTCTCTATCCCGCGCCGGAGTGATTCCAGCAGGTGAGTTTAACTCGTTTGCACCTGTTTCCCTCTCAAGTCGACCTAACCACCTGGAGCGGTTGACATGTCAGCTATATATGAATCTATATATAATATAAATTAAAATGTATATAATAGATTTAAATTTAAATTTATATATTATATAATATATTTATACATATAATAAAATTATAATCAAATATATGTATATAAAAATATAAATATCAAAAAGGTTAGAGTCTATAGATAGATCTATATATAATAAATAAATAGGCTCTAACCCCATCATTGTCGAGACAAGACGTCCTAAAAGACGATGCTTGGCAACAAAGTGCCACAGAGTCGGCGATTTGACATGCAGGCGCGAATAACTCGTGTAAACTGCAGATTTAACCTCACAAACCTGGACCAGGGACCTGCAATATCTGGGAGGAAGGGGGGGGGGTGTCTGGCTTAGATGGGTAAATCATTTGAAAGGCACGCTCAATAGTGTGTGTAAGCATACGTGTTTGGGTGTGAGTGTAGACTGCGTAAGAGTAGTAGTTAGGTGGCCGTATTCCTGGCGAAATAATACGGAAAGATACGATACTATAAATAAGTATATATTAACAAGCGACATGTAAGAAAACACATCACAGGAGCTTTATTGAATTCCACGAAAGTTTGAGCGAGTCGTACTGTCAACATTAGAGTACAGTGGTATCTACGGCGATTTTTCTTTCAAGTGCCAAAAACAAAGCGAAGAGGGGAAAGATGGGATACACACGCAAGCACGCAGAGTCGAAGGCGTTCAAGTGTCCCAAGTGCTCAGCGACATACATGGGATCCCAGGCAGAGCTGGACATGCACTTGACCTGCCACGTGGATGGTGAGAAACGCTCAGACACGTGATCGTGCCACGTGCAGCAGTAGACAGATCACATTTTGCTTTGTGTCGCTCGCTTTATTCACCTTTGTTTCTCTTTTGTGTGGCGAACAGCCGTGTTGTGGATATGTAACGAATGTCGCCCTGCCTCATGTGACAGTTGAAAGATACCTTAGTACCTAGATACCGTAGTTTACCTTGCTTTGTTTCTGTTTTATGTGACGTCTTGCAGTGTAACGGAAGTGTAGCACCTTTAAATGCAGTCATGCAGCATGTTCAAATGCCTACCACTAATTTGATTGAATAGCCTAGTGACCTAGTAAATAGGCCTAATAGCCTAAACAGCCTAAATAGCCTAGTGACTGAATAGCCTAGTGACTGAACAGCCTAGTGACTGAATAGCCTAGTGACTGAATAGCCTAGTGACTGAATAGCCTAGTGACTGAAGGCCTATAATCTGAATAGCCCGAGTGGACGACTGCCTATGTGCTGAATACTGCATACGCTGTATATTTTGTGGTGGTTTAATTTGGGATTAACTTTCCCCCGGGCGTAGATGGACGTTCACGTGATGTGGCAGCACTAGTGTTAGGATTAGGGTTAGGGTTAGGGAAATAAGGCCATGTCTAGCACGGAAGTATGACTGTGGAAGATTGGACTTTGAAGGTAGCGAAGTGACTAGTGCTGCCACGTAACGGCACCGTCCATCTACGCCCGGGGGAAAGTGACACCCGTTTAATTTTCGCGAACGCGTCCCCGACCGCGAAAATAACAACACGCTGTTCAATCTTCACTGATTCGGAATTCACCGACCGCGAAATGAACCACTCGCGATATTGTCGGTCAAGTCTGAATTCAAGAAAATATCTGTACGCGAAAAATATGGCGTATACAGTATAGTCTACTCTAATACATACACGTACGTAATCATGTACGCTCGTTCCAGGTCTTAGTGCGTTGGAGTGTCCGCACTGCAGCAAGCAAGTCAACACCTGGTCGCACATGTCTCGTCATCTCGGCGCGCATGGCTTGCGGGAATACCTGCGCGCCTCCTCAGCCACGCCCGTGAAGCTCGTAGTGTAAGTCGGCAGTCTATCTCTGCGGTTCGACGATGGCTCGGGACACGAAATTCAGATTTTTTTGCACCGGTTTAGAGGGCTGGTGAAACAGTAATTCTTACCAGCCCTCACCATAATTTACCAGCCCTCAGAAATTAGTTTGTAAAATCAATGTCGTGTTTCACGCTTTCAAATTTGTAAAATGTTGATAACTTATGGCGTGATACCTTTCAGGTAAAATAGTAATGTAGGCTATTTGCTATATAACAATGTCAGGCATCTATCAATATAGTTTCAAATAAAAATACTAATAATCTAAATCGATTCATAATAAAATTTTAATAAAATTAATAATAAAAATAATAATAAAAATATAAACATCCTTAAACAAATTTAAATTGCATCCCCAAAAAATCTGCTAGAGATGCTCACCTCCGATTGACTGGAACCCAACTTTCTCGAATTTGCCGCGTAGGAGTCATCGATATCATTTACCTGTCATCGTGCTCATCGCGATGTCAATCTCCTATCCTCTGACTCAATCTCAGTCTCAATCTCAGTCTCAATCAGTCTCAATCTCTTCACAGTCTCAATCTCAGTCTCAATCAGTCTCAATCTCTTCACAGTCTCAATCTCAGTCTCAATCTCTTCACAGTCTCAATCTCCTGCCCCTCTCTCTCTCTCTGGGCAGGTGTTGGCACTCGATCTCAGTCTCAATCAGGTTCAATCTCTCCCTAGTCTGAGTCTCAATCAGTCTCAATCTCACCCCCATCTCAATCTCCTGCCCCTCTCTTTCTCTGGCAGTGTTGGCACTCGGATCTCAGTCTCAATCTCTGCCCAGTCTCAGTCTCAATCAGTCTCAATCTCTCCCCCTATCTCAATCTCAGTCTCATCTCAATCTGCTCCTCAGTCTTAATCTCAGTCTCATCACTCTCAATCTCTCCATAGTTCAATCTCAATCTAATCGGTCTCAATCCTCGCCTCAGTCTCATCTCAATCTCAATCTTAGTCTCAATCAGTCTCAGTCTCAATCTCAATCTCAATCTTAGTCTCAATCAGTCTCAATCTCTCCCCCATCTCAATATCAATCTCAATCTCAATCTTAGTCTCAATCAGTCTCAATCTCAATCTCTCTCCAGTCTCAAACTCTTATCCCCCTCTCTCTCGACAGGTGTCGACAGAGGCTGCGACAGGACGTTCAGGACGAAGGGAGACATGACGAAGCACTACCAGCAACGCCACGAGGAACCGCGCTACACGTGCGAACACTGCGGAAAGCTCTGTCGCTTCTACGAGCAGCTGACGCGACACATAGAGGCGAAACACCTCAAGAAGATCATCAGGTGCTGATTGATTTGTTTGATTGATTGATTGATTGATTGACATAGAGGCGAAACACCTGAAGATGATCATCAGGTGGCTGATGATTATGTTTGATTGATTTGATTATTTGACATAGAGACGAAACACCTGAAGAAGATCATCAGCGTACTGATTGATTGTTTGATTGATTGATTGATTGACATAGAGGCAAAACACCTGAAGAAGATTATCAGGTACTGATGCTAGCGTTGGATAAAATACGCGACTCGTCCTTTTTCGTCGGTCCTTTTTTCGATTTTTGAGGCGAAATTTCAAATGTTTAAATCTGGGTTGAAATGTGTAACTAACAGTAATCTTTTCAGTATTTCTACAGTAATTCTAAGGTAGATCTTTTGATGTTACAGGTGCGAGTACTGCCCATTCAAAACGAAAGTATCAAAGGCATTGACTGTACACATGAGAGTTCACATGGTAGGTTATCAACCGTTCGACGCTCTGATGCAGCATTTTTTAATGGTGAACAATAGAATGATCTTTAGCATATCAAGTTCTTTATTATCATAATCATCGATATTGGGTGGATTTATTGACAAAGACAAGCGAGGGGAAAATTATTTTCGGTCAAATCAGGTTTCAAGCATAATAGCTACATTTTCTATTCCTTGTTCATCGATCATTTACTCATTAGAGATCAATTATAAACTGTACATTAAGGTAATATTTGTCATTACTTAAATGACCCATTATTGTTTTATTTATTTACTCTTTAGAACTAATTATAAACTGTACTTTAATGCAACTATTTGCTCATTAGTCCTTTTAATTTTTATTTTTATTTACATCAGTGTGATATAGCTGTGTACATGCATGTGGGTTGTTACTTGAGCGGTAGAGGCATCAGCTGTGAGGTGTCCATGTGATATAGCCGTGTACATGCATGTGGTTGCTACTTGCAGGGTAGAGGCATCAGCTGTGAGGTGTCCGTGTGATATAGCCGTGTACATGCATGTGGTTGATCCTTGCAGGGTAGAGCATCAGCTGTGAGGTGTCCGTGTGATATGAGCTGTGTACATGGGCATGTGTGTTGCTACTTGCGGCGGTAGAGGCATCAGGCTGTGAGGTGTCGTGTGATATAGCTGTGTACATGCATGTGGTTGATCCTTGCAGGGTAGGACATCAGCTGTGAGGTGTCCGCTGGTACATGCATGTGGTTTGTTAAAGTAGCTTGAGGGTAGAGGCCATCAGCTGTGAGGTGGTTGCCGTGTGATATAGCGCTGTACATGCATGTGGTTGATCTTGGCAGCGGTGCCGCGCATAGAGATCAGCCCCTGGAGGTGTCCGTGTGATATAGCTGTGTACACGCATGTGGTTGATCCTTGCAGGGTAGAGGCATCAGCTGTGAGGTGTCCGTGTGATATAGCTGTGTACATGCATGTGGTTGATCCTTGCAGGGTAGAGGCATCAGCTGTGAGGTGTCCGTGTGATATAGCCGTGTACATGCATGTGGTTGATCCTTGCAGGGTAGAGGCATCAGCTGTGAGGTGTCCGTGTGATATAGCCGTGTACATGCATGTGGTTGTTACTTGCAGGGTAGAGGCATCACCTGCGATGTTTGTGGGAAGCAGTTTCCCACGAGATCTCAGCTAACCTCGCACATGGTCCGCCACCAGGAGGGAGTCGGCAGCATCTGCGACCAGTGCGCTCAAACGTTCAAGTCGAAAGGTTCGTTAGAGGCGCACGTTCGACGTAAACACCAGCCCGTATCGAAGGTACGCACAAATGTAACGTTTTCTTCTGCTGTTGTGGTGTTTGAACTGTTTCTGTGAAGTTTTTATTTTTTTATTATGTTCACGGTGTATCATTGTAAAGCATTTTTTCTTGAAATGTCTTTTTTCGTCTTTATAGTCATCACAAATATTTTCGAACCGCACGTTTCTGAAGTGCCTTAGTTCTTCTTTATATTGTTTGTTTATCAATTTAAGTCACATATTTATGAAATGTCTTTTTTCTTCGTTACATTTATCACCTATCATTTTAAATTACACGTTTCTAAAATATTTTATTTCTTTATTATATTTATCACATATCATTCTGCCTTATAATATTTTATATATAATGTATATTTTATAGGTAACATTATATTCATGCCCATTACGGTGTAACTAGTATGTCGTTGCTGGTGGCAGACTGGTCTTCCTCTTAGACTGTCGTCTGTGGTTAGTGATTCGTAACATTTGCAATGTTGCAGGAGATGTGTCCTGAGTGTTCATTCATGGGTGACCCAGACTACGTTCAAAAGCACATTGAGCGAGTACATCGCAAGCAATTCAGGTATTCTTCTCCCTCCTGTGTATTTACTTTCACTCCCCGTGTTATCGCAAGCAATTCAGGTATTCTTCTCTCTGCTGTGTAGTTACTTGCACTCCCCATGTTCTCCTCCTCCCTGTTGTGGGGTTCTGTTACTCACTGTTGTGTAGCTGTTATTTTTCATCCATATTTTTCACCGTTGTTTTGACATCAAAATTTGTCTTTATCGTCGTCGTCATCGTTTCCCCCGCTCGCCACCAGGTGCGGCGTGTGCGACTACGCTACGAACAGCGACGTTGCGTTGGAGCGCCACCTGGCGATGCACGACGACAGCCGACCGATGAAGTGCAGTCAGTGCGAGTATCGCGCACGCGACGACAAGACGCTGCTGGACCACGTGCGGAACCGCCACACCGCGGAGGAACTGACGCGCGTGCACGCGTGCGGGGTGTGCGGCAAACGCTTCAAGGTATGGCCGCTGCATTATTTATGGCTTAATACTATATACGCCATATTTTTCGCGAATTCACACTTGATGGACAATTTTGCGAGTGGTTAATTTCGCGGTCGGTGAATTATGAATTGGTCGGTATTATTCGGTATGAATTATTCGCGTGTCGGGGACGCGTTCGCGAAATTCGCGAAAATTAAACCACCGCGAAATCTACAGCGTATTACAGTATACAGTAATCTAGGTGAGGAAATTAGTAGATTTTTCTACACCATGAAAAGGCTAAGGAACTGAAGCGCGTGCACGCGTCAAGGTATTATCACCGCACGATTATTTATGGTTTAGGCCTAAAAAAAGACGTTTGTTTCCGCTAACCCGACCGAGTCCATTTTAAACCGTCGTGTCGAAACTTTATTGTGATGGGCCAAAAAAAAAAATTTTAATTAAAATATTTTTAAAAAATGAAAAAAATCCATCGTGATATCGATAGGTGAATGCATTGATTTGACTTTGAAATCATTATATGGGCTGTTATAAATATAAAACAAGTATTGTTAGAATACAAAAAAATAATATTTGATAAAAAAAATGTTTTGCCTGCCTAGAGTGTTCATTTTTTTTCCACATCGTTAGCAGAAACAAACGTCTTTTTTAGGCCTTAAAGTGTAATCTAGGTGATTCAATTAGTGGATTTTTCTCTGCACAGCGGAGGAACTGACGCGCGTGCACGCGTGAAGGGTGTGCGGCAAATCCTTGTGTAATGTGTAATACGGTAATCTAGGCAATTGGTCATGGCGGCGAAAATCAAAACGAGCAAATCATAATTCGAATCGTGCATGTTTTGGTGCTACGAAGGTTCTGAGACATGTTAGCGTTACTCTAGACCGTTGCTGTTACTCGAGCAATAACGGAAAGTATCTTATGAGTGGAGAAAACACGAGACTAGTCGGAAATTATTTTCGAAATCCTGGCTTTAAATACTGATTAAAAATATATATAATTAATATATATAATAAAATTATATTTATTGTTTCTCCCCACCACAAATGCACACGATGCTGAAAATTAAACCACGATTAAATAAAAATTCATTTTTTATTATTCTTCCGCCACCAGACGCGCACGATGCTCAAGTCGCATATGCCGTCACACACGAACGCCAAGACCTACTGCTGCAACTTCTGCAACTACGCCTGCAAGTACCGCCAGACGCTCTACTACCACCTGCGCGTCAAACACGACGTGACATCCCTCGCCACTGGGGGGCGTTCCGTCGCCGCGAAACAAGAGACGCTCGAGATCTCGGGCGGGATCGAGATCGGCGGGGACTCGGCCGGGGAGCACACGGTCATACTGCAGCTCGCCGGCGAGGCGGCAGCCGCGGCAGCACGCGGGGAGGCGGTCGTCATCGATACGAGCGGTCTGCCGGACGACGTTACCATGGAGACGATCAACGTTGACGGGCGCGGCGAGCGGATGGGACCCGTCGGACAGACGATCGTGATCAGCGGCGGCCAGGTGGTGGCGCCGGTGGAGCAGCAGCTAGCGGCGGGTTCGTGATTTTTGGTCTTAATCGACTCTTTGATCTTAATAATTAATCTTTATCTTTAGTCGGAATCATTATTCTTAATCTTTAATCGTAAACTTTATTCTTTATTCTTAATCTTTAATCTTTATCTTTATCCTAGTCTTTATCTTTAGTCGTAATCTTGATTCTTTATTATTGATCATTAATCATAGACTTTATTCGTTATTCTTAATCTTTAATCTTAAACTTTATTCTTTATTCTTAATCTTTATTCTTTATTCTTAATCTTTAATCTTGATCTTTAACCTTTAATCTTAAACTTTATTTTTTATTCTTAATCTTTAATCTTGATCTTTAACCTTTATCCTTAATCTCTAATCCCGATCTTTTTTACTAATCTTTAATCTGAATCTTCAATCTTTGATCTTAATATTAAATTCCAATCTCAAGTTGTAACAAATCCTCCGCAGGCGACTCGAAGGACATCGGCCAACAGCAGCAGCAGGAGACTTACGTCCTGCGTCTGTCCGAAGGCTCGCAGGACACGTACGTGCTGAGCAAGGAGAGCCTCGCACGGCTCCAGCAGGGCGACGTCCCCAGCACGATCATCCTGCAGCAGCGGGGCGCCGGCGGCGGCGACGGAGAGTCGACATACATCGTGCAGACGGAGGCGGATCAGCAGGCGGCGGAGACGACGACGACGACGCACGCCGCCGAGATACTGCAGCAGCTGATGTCGATCGCTCACACGGGCGACACGCAGGAGGTCGCCGAGGAGGCGGTCGCCCCGGCAACGTGAAATACTGCAGCAGCTGATGTCGATCGCTCACACGGGCGACACGCAGGAGGTCGCCGAGGAGGCGGTCGCCCCGGCAACGTGAAATACTGCAGCAGCTGATGTCGATCGCTCACACGGGCGACACGCAGGAGGTCGCTGAGGAGGCGGTCGCCCCGGCAACGTGAGGAGGCGGTCGCCCCGGCAACGTGAGGAGGCGGTCGCCCCGGCGACGTGAGGAGGCGGTCGCCCCGGCGACGTGAGGAGGCGGTTGCCCCGGCGACGTGAGGAGGCGGTTGCCCTGGCGATGTGAGGAGGCAGCGCGGGTACGATGCAGTCGCCTTGACGACGAGATGAGGCTGTGCAAGAAGGCAGTTGCCCTGGCAACGTGAGGAGGCAGCGCTGGGATGATGCAGCTGCCTTGACAATGAGAGGGGGCTGTGTGAATGGAAATGATGGGGTCGCCTCGGCAACGTCATGAAGCAGCACAAAAGAGATGTGATTGCCTCGGAAACGTATTTAAGTAGTACAAGACCGGTCTCTGATTTTGCTGTTTCTGAAACGAAAGATTCATGGAAGTAGAATCGTACCTCTCTCTCTGTAAATCATGCCAGGATGGAGTTACTGGACGGTTCGGTGTGTACACGATGCGTCCGATTATTCAATCTAAGGTTGCATGCATGCGCTTGTGCTTGTTTGCTTTTAACGTCATACGACGGCCGCTGATGATTGTGCTATTTGGTAGATTTGGCACAGTATACGCTAAGTGGCCACGCGATATCTGCCTGTGTGTCATGATGTCGAATTAAATCATACTTATACGGGTTTACCACAGGTATTCTAGCAGGGCCATATTAGGTCAAGGACATTCTGGTCTTGAGACCAGAGCCAGGACGGGCCAGCAGTTTTATCTGATTATGAGAGGTCTATATATGCTAACCTCCTAGGCTACCTCTAACCCATTAGCTACACACGCTACGCTAACTTTAAAGCTATTTTGAATACAGGGCCGTAGACTGAGCAAATTTCTAGGGGGGGGGTGCAAAATTTCATGAGTCAACTGTGTAATGATGAGCGACGGGCGTAGCTCTTTATCGACGTCCATAGTGTGGTAGGGGTGCGGGGTCTGAGACAAGGCTGTCATGGATAAGTGATAAAAAAAATCACGTTGGGGTTATTTACGATTATTAGCTAAGCTTGTTTTTTTTGCTCTAAAATCTAGTGGGGGCAGCTGCCCCCTTCCCCCCCCCCAAGAAGCTACGGCCCTTTAATAGCTACTTTGAAGCTACCTTTTTTTGCTAGAGAACAATAGGGCGATACCCATATAAAACAACGTAGCTCGATATGTCGCAGTCGGAGAGTCGTGGGGGTAAATTTAAAACGCCACCACGGTAAGACTGTCCGTGGACCATCAAAGGTGCTGGACTGCCCCCATACCTGAACAGCTGTGACCTATATCAATATCATAAGGTATCAGTAGAGAGGGGTCATCCACTGGTTTACATACCCCTGATGTGACGAAATGCGACAAGTAGTGAATAGTACAGTGGCGTGGGTAGAAAATTACAGAGCACCATTGCACTACCCGAGTAGCCCCCTCCACTCCTGCTACTGGGAGCTAAGAGCAATGTTTCACTACCCGAGTAGCCCCCTCCACTCTTGCTACTGGGAGCTAAGAGCAATGTTGCACTACCCGAGTAGCCCCCTCCACTCCTGCTACTGGGAGCTAAGAGCAATGTTGCACTACCCGAGTAGCCAGCCCCCTCCACTCCTGCTACTGGGAGCTAAGAGCAATGTTGCACTACCCGAGTAGCCCCTCCACTCCTGCTACTGGGAGCTAAGAGCAATGTTGAATGTTCACGTTTTTATCTGCCTGCTAGGTAATAAAGATCTGTTGTAAAACTAACGCTGTCTTCATAATCTAGTAATAATTTTGTAGCTTATCTCGATGATAAGGAGATCAGCATCACTGCTCTTAATTCCAAATCCGAAATGTGACTTCGTACGCACGCACGCACGCTCAAAGTTGAAGGAAGTGTTAGAGGAGGTACTGCGTATGGCTTGTAAGTGAGGTGCACGTCTGTTTTATTGGAGCATGCTCCCAATTTCTTGCATTCTGGATTACGCAAGGAATTAATTGCATTATGCAATGTGGAGCATTCTCCCAATTCCCAATTCTGCCCCATGCTCCCAATCAAAAATATTATATACAATTTTATTATTTTCATTTTATTTTGTAGCTGATCGCAAAGGTAAGTCGAGGAAAGCTAATCTCTCTATCCAAATCCAAAAACTAGATATTAGCACGCACGCACGCACCTATTGAAGAAAAACTGCTGTTAGGGAAAGTGCTGAAGGAATGTTGTTTGTGAGCTAGGTACACGTTGCTTTACTGTACATGCTCCTAATTTCCACCGTTTGATTTCAGCTAGAAAATCTGCAGTAAACGGTTGGAGTTTTGTAGGTAAATTGGGTGATCATACCCACAAGTTTCAATAATTCATGATTTATGCATCTAATACATGCAGCTTGTAATAATATTAGACAAGATAACCAACCATGGTGGACCTGTGGCTTGGTTTTTTGTGTCCCTACTATTAGATGTTTCCGGACATAATACAATCGAAATCATAATAATAGTAATTTGTCACTAATTGACATTAAAATAGGGGTATATACGGGTAAGACACATAAGGGACATATAAGGGTAAGACATCTATGTCTGGGTCATTTCTTTAAATTCCGCAGAGGCAGTGAAATGTCGTTCACAGCATGTTCAATCTTATTCAAATCTTATTTTCTTACAAGTCGGCTATACGTAGCTTATAGTGAGACCACACGCACGCGCGTACTCACACACACACACATGCACATCGCAATAGTTATGCAATTTAATATCGGGGCGATTGAAATATTATTTTTTTCATTTATTACCTGTTTTTTTTGCACGGATGTATTTTGCTAGCTTTTTGCTATGGCTACGCGGGGTTTGGTATGAACACATTCACGCAATTCCACACACACGCGCACACGCACATACACACGCACGCACGCACGCACACACACACACGCACGCGGCCTTTAATAACTTGAGAAACCGCCCCCTAGCGTCAGTGACTGACATGCAATTTGCCACATGTCGTTCACACGGCTTGTACACATACAGTAACCCTCCGGGAAGGCGCATATGCGAGAGAAGTTACGGGTCCTTGAAAACGCCGAAAAACGCGAAATTCCGTGACGTGAAACCCGTTTTCGCATCAATCATAATTTGACCTTCGTTATATAACTCGAAATGCGGCACCTACGCATTTGTTTCCGGTAAAATGAATAATATCAGCACACTTGTAAATGAAAATAAACAGGTTTAAACACGTGCGATGGTTATACGTTATGAGCTAGTATTATAATAAATACACAAACGAGTTCATTTTAGCTCGGCAGTAGCGGTGATGAGTATTGTGTGAGTCCCGTACGTGACGCTTTGTGACCGGCAAACGCCGTACGAAGAACCACGCCATATAGGAGACGATTTCGGTGTTCTCTATTTGGTTCCATAGCGCAAATTTTCTGCTGGAAATTTCTGTAACTTTATGGCGAATTTATGGCCGTGTCAAGGGTTCGTACCCTGTGCAAATTCTCAAGCTGATTGGGATTTGGAGAGGGAGCCTAGTCAATGTGAATTGTGTACATTTATTTGGGGCTCATTTTATTTTCCACAAAATCTAGGTATGGACGAGGGTATTATTCTTTACGCATCTCTTCGCATTTATTCTTTACGGTTATTTACATTTAATATGCTTTTTTATTTTTCTCTAACATCCAAGGGGAACACAAACACTAACAGCTGCCTTTTTTACGGTTATATACATTTAAGGCCTTTATTTTATTTTTATTGGATTTTTTATATTTTTATTTTTATTTTTCTCTACCATCTACGGGACGACTGCTCCCCTGTCCCTCTTCCCTTCAGAGGCTACGGCTCTGGTATCTTGAATATAGCCGCCATTCGCAGATGGGAAAACGGAAGTGGGGGCCATTACCAGATGTTGGAGATACAAACGGTGGAGGTCCATTCTCAGTGTTTCCCAGGTCAAAAAATACGCCGATTGTCAGTTCCCGCTGAATATTTTTCCCGATTTTATAATTGATATTTCGGTTTACTTAATTGTGTTCCGGTTGACTTCTATTCGCTAATCACGCAAAATATTATCCGGTATATATATCCCTGTTCCACAATAATTAAAATGGTCAAACTCCGCGTCCAGAAAATGATTTCCCCCCTCCTCATTCACAAATTGGGGGAATTTCTGGAACACCGGTGTGAACATAGCGCGCCGTGGAAGCAACAACAACAACAATAATGTTATAATAACAATAACAATGTTTGCGGCACTTGAGAATCCACCACTGAGGACGATATGTCCCAGAATTGATCTCTGACTTGAATCCTGATCGGTGATTACCGATTGATTAATCCATCGATTACGGAACAACGATATCTACTCGGTGTCGTTATAAAAATTGTTGTTTCAAACTCACCGATGATTTTCGTATAGCTTTCACTCGAACAACTCCCCGCGACATCCTAGCAGTAAATCTGTGCTCGAGACTTAAGCCCTTTGATATTTGCTAGAGCCTCAAACAGCTGCCTGTTTATTTATACCCAACAGCGACGGCAGTGGGTGGTGGAGGAGGAGCGAGAGGAGGAAGGTTACTGTAGAATATAGCCATAGTCGGTATACGCAGCGTTAACATGTGTGTGTGTGCGGGCAGCGTGGATATATCTCCCCACCATCATGGTACCACTCGATCCGGTTGTTACCACTCCACCCGCAGCTCGGATCATCGATCGTTAGTTAGTGTCGAGCAAAATCCGAACTTCTAATCTTACTCGGATCGGTTTAACACAGGACGGTGTGTGTTTGTGCGTGTATACTTAATTGCGAGAAGCGGAGGCCTGGATAGTCTCTAGACTATACGAGACGCATATATATATACACTGCTGTGCCCCTCGTACGTGTGGGGTCGATTAGCTCAACACTCGATGCCAGTGAGGTAAAAAGTTATTAGCGATGTGCTGTTTGTGTTGTGTCTGTGTATGTACGAACCATCCGGACCCTTCTGTTGAGAATCAATCTATAGTTGCTGAGTCTTCATTTGGTTCTTCTTACGCGGGAAAACACAGGTTTGTGGCGTTTCGTCTACCAGTGGACGTATTGTAGACGTTCCTTGGAAACGTCCTAAATTTTGCTGCTTTCCAAAAATAACAGAACCGTTTTCTTGCAAAATTTGTTTGGTTGACGTCTCTGTTTCTTCGTCAGCACTTGAAGATTAAGACGGACAAAACTTTCTGCAGCTCGTTATATATATATATATATATATATATATATATATATATATATGTGTGTGTGTGTGTGTGTGTGTGTGTGTGTGTGTGTGTGTGTGTGTGTGTGTGTGTGTGTGTGTGTGTGTGTGTGTGTGTGTGTGTGTGTGTG